TGTGTGTGTGTGTGTGTGTGTGTGTGTGTGTGTGTGTGTGTGTGAAAGCAGCTCTACACAGGAGCAAGTAAAATGGGATGAAAAAACTAAAACACTACCAATCCAAGCATGTCTGACATGTTTGTGACTTTATAATGAAGTGCATCAGACAGGAAAACAAAACCTGAAACTGGGAACTGACTGGGAATAACAAGGGAAACAGGGAGCGCGGGGATAAGGACAGGAAACGGGAGGGAACACAGCTGGAATTAATCAGACAGGGAGAAAACTGAGCACACTGAAGAGGGCGAGAGACTGTGGAAATAAAACAGGAAGTCCGATTACCATGGCAACAAAGACCAAGACATGCAGGCTTGACACTTGGACTGGGAAAAAATAGATATGGGAACATGACTGACTGGTGAGAGAGAGAGAGGGAACACTGAACACGGGAACAAGAGACGAGGCCGACAAAACCTGGCAGATGCATGTGGTTCTTTTTTCCACAATAACCACACAGTAACAGAAAACACATAAACACCGATGCAAACGACAACATGTACTGTAAGTACCGTGGTGACATCAGCATTACTCAGAAGTTCCTCCGTTGTCGTTTTTTAAGTTATCCCTCAGTGGACTCTGCAGTTCGATCACAATGAGTAACATTGCAAAGCTACGGTGAGCTGTGAGTGTTTCCAGCTCAGCCACAGGGACTCAGGGAAATTTCACTTCTTGATGGGCTTATTTATGTATTATAACTATTTGCCATTAAACATTTTATAATGTTTTAAGTAAATCTTGCAGGCAGTGTGAGTAAACGAGTTCTCTCTGCTCTCTTCTCTCTTTTTAGCTTGGTGTCGATAATTCGAGGTCAGGTCCTGACAGCTGATGGAACACCTCTGATTGGAGTCAACGTGACATTTGTTCACTATCCTGAGCATGGATACACTATAACACGCAAGGATGGCATGTGTGTACTTATTCATTATTAATATTTTCATACACCTTTTATACAAACATTGTGCCTTTTCCAAAAATGTCTCCTCTCAGCAGTGGTTTAAAACAGATGTTGTGCATCGTCTGTTCACTAAATAAACTTGATGACCAGGGTGGTAAACAGGGCTCCTTCATGGAGGTTTCCACCAACAACTAGAATAAAACCATTTTCATATCAATAATCTGCATGTGTGTGAAACATATCCTGAAAGTAAAAGTGGATGTAGCTCCATGTAAATGTGAAACCTGCATTCTTTCAAATGCCCAGCAGGGGGGGTCTCCTGAGTAACCCCCTCACAATCAGACACACACACACGCGTGCACACCGTGTTTTCACATCCCTTAGCCTAAACCTAACTGTCACCTAATTATAACCCTGACATTAAAAAACACCTTTAACTTGTGGGGACCGGGATTTTGTCCCCATAACAGTGTTGGTCCCCACAAGCATAGTAAACCTCCTATTTTTGGTCCCCACAAAGATACATAAACACACACAAACACAAACACGGACAGCCAACAACGGAAGAATGACATCTACATTGTGCTCTTACATTCCCACCTCAGCTCACACAGCTTCTTCATTCTCACGTCAGCTGAAGAGAAGGTGTGAGCGTGTGGGGAAGACGCTTTTTAAAATGCACTGGATTCACAAGGACGCACTCAGTCACTGTTGAACACACACACCTGCACACAAACAAACGTGCTCACACACTCCAACTGTAGGTATGTAATGCACACAATATATAGACACAAGATGCACATCAGCACACTCACAGAATTTAATGAGCCAATTACACCGTCACAAATGAAAGTTTAAGAGTCTTTGTCCTGCAGAAGTTTGCAAATCCACTCTTATATTCTGTAACAGTGAATTAAGAGGCTTTCCTTATTAAAGCTTGTATAATTCAGCTGCATGGTACTCACACGTCTTGTTTCCCAGCACTCACTGTACACATTTGTTTGACGATGATGTGCTGACAGGTTTGATCTTCTGGCCAATGGCGGGGCATCCCTCACACTGAGCTTTGAGCGTGCTCCCTTCCTCACTCAGTACAGAACTGTTTGGGTGCCGTGGAATGTCTTCTATGTGATGGACACGCTTGTGATGAAGAAGGTGAACGACTGAGGGTCTGACTGTTGACACTGCACTGAATATGCAGATACGACCTTTGTTTCATTTACTCTTTCTATCGCAGATGTATTCGGGTTAAATGAATAATTGAATCAGTGCTGTGACTGCTGAGCTCACCTTTCCATATTCAGTGACCGACACATGTCGTGTCTGGCTGTTTCAGGAGGAAAATGACATTCCCAGCTGTGACCTGAGTGGTTTCATCAGACCGAGTCCTGTCATTGTTGCTTCTCCTCTGTCTACATTTTACAGAAGCTCACCTGAAGATGGCCCCATCATACCTGAAACACAGGTAATGAATCAATCAGAGGACTTTAATGGGAGCTAAGACACTTTGAGTACGATCTCTGTGTCTGTGAATAAGTTTGCAATGTAAAAATAATGTAACACTTTGTGCTAGCTGTGTTATACTTGGCAAACTTAAATCTTTAGGTTGAGCAGATTAAAACATGCATGTGTGTTTTGTATGTGTTTGTCCATATAAAAAACAAAGCCAGTGTCTTTGCACATGAATAGGACAGCACATCTATCTGTGTGGACGTGTGTGTGTGTGTGTGTGTGTGTGTGTGTGTGTGTGTGTGTGTGTGTGTGTGTGTGTGCGCACACATTCGAGTGTAGATCAAAAGCAAGCAAATGGAAAACTGCTCCTTAGCTTTTGGTGGAGCTGGCTCCATTAGAGGGAGGGCAGTGAGGCCGGCCTTAAAGGCATGAAATGGATCTGTAATGAATGCTAAATGCGCAGCTAATGAAAAGGCAATAGTGCAGCTGAGAAGTATAACACTCCAAATGGAGTATTCCCTCAGGACTGTTTTTCAACGTAGTCTCAATCAGTTCTTCTCTCTCTCTTTTCAGAAGTCTTCTCAGCTTCTGTCCTGTTGCTTGTAGATCCTTTACCTCACATCGCTAGGACAGGAGTTCTTTTTGTCTCATTTGGAGTTTAATTGTGTATTTTTTTAAATGTTTATTGACAGACCCCTGAAATGCTGTAGTTTAGACCTTAAAAGTACAAACATTGAGACAAACTCATACCTCTAGATTTGTGGAAGTAAACTGCAGCAGGTGGAAGAATCACAAGCAAATCGGGAACATGCAGTCTCTGCTGTGTAGCTGGAAATAAAACTCAGTCTTCTTTTCTGTTGTTTTGTATTCAATAACTTCTTTTGGTTCTAACTCCATGGCAGTCATTAGGCACTAGGCAGAGCTTTGCAGGGGGGCAATGTCAAAAGCTTTAGGACCAACTCCTGTGACCTGCTCGTATTTATGGTTCTGGGAAAAGAACCATAAAAACCTTATCAGATTTAAATGTGGCTGATCGTCTTCGATGGCATGTCGAGACAGCTTCCAGCTGCTATTTTTAATCTAGCTCTCTAATTTGTGACTGCTTACACTTCTGCATTGCATTTGCACCACAAACATCAGTTTCTCTTCACAATCAAAATGTGATTCAACTGCAGACTTTCATCTTTATTTATGTTTAACAAAAGTATTACATTAACTCAGTGGTTCTCAAACTTTTCACATCATCCTCACATGACAGGAAGAAAGATTTTCATCTAAACAAAGCAATGACAGAAAAGCCGAGCTGCAACTTTATTTGGATAATAAACTCATTCACGGTGAATCCTTCAGCAGTTTCTGTTTGAAACAAACATCTTTCATTTCAAACAGCTATTTGCAGCTTTTGTCGCAGCACAAAGTTCAGTGTTAGTCTTGTAAAACTTGTGAACAGAGATGAAAAATATATAACTTAGTGAGAGTTTTTGACTGCAGCGCTGTGGCGGGGCATGGTCTGCGGCGTGGCTGTGGGGGAGGCGGGCGCACCTGAGCGGCCTCTGCAATCACGCCTCGCCGGCTTAAAACAGAATGAACTGGGTCCTGTCGTTGCTGCTGGTGTGTGTAGGCTGTAGCTGAAAAGCTGCAGGCGAGTGTAAGTCGACAGATGCAATAAAGAAGAGTAGTGAAAAGTGCGAACACGTGGTCGGGTCTCTCGTGTCCCAGTCCTGGGTTTCAGCATCACTGCAAACGATGCGCGACAGACCCGACCACATGTTCGCACTTTTCAGTACACTTCTTTATTGCGGCTGTCGACGTCCACACGCCTGCAGCTTTTCAGCAGATGCGCATATTATTAACGTAACTGCTGCAAATTTCTTCTTTCTGCTATAGAAGTGATTTCCGATGGTAAACAGTAGTTCTGCATGACTTTTCTGCCAGGTAACCTGCACCCCACCTGTCAGAGCTCTGCACCCCAGCAGTGGGGCGTGCCATGCTGTTTGAGAACCACTGCGTGCATTAACTGTTCATTAATAATGGAATTTTTTATACATAATCACATGTACGTTGATGCGAGTGAAAGAGGATTTGCAGAATTGTTTCTTGGGTTTCTAAATTAAACGTTCACAACATAAAACCTAGTCGAAAACACCCAAGTCTAAAACAGAGGCTTTATAGCAAGGTGCAAACCACTGGTTACACTCAAGAACAAAAAGACAAGATTAGATTTTGCCAGAAAACAACTGAAAGACTTTGGCAGGAAAATGTTTGGACTGATGAAACCAAGCTGAACCTGTACAAGGATGTTAGGAAGAAAAAAATGAATAAATAAAGAACATGAAGAAAGTGAAGGGAGCAGAATTATGGCATGAATATGCAAGCCTGTCAATTGTACTGGGCTATTAAGTTGCATGCACACTGGGACTGTGATTGTTGGTTCTGGTTGCCTGGGTGAAGCTCTAGCAGCTCATATGTCAGTCAGTGGCATTCTTCCCTGTCATTGGTAGTCTCCTGAGTCACTCCTCTGAAAGTTTATTGTGGGTCTGCCGCACTTGGCATCGACAGCAATTCTGCGCTTAGTACAGCACTTCATCAGGAGCATCAGGAATAGGGATGGGTATCGTTTAGGTTTTATCCGATACCGGTGCCAAATCTGTACTTTTGAAACGGTGCCGGTGCTCAAACCGGTGCTTAAAGAATGGAGAACACACACTTTGTCCAAAAACCTCTCATGTTCAGCTGTTTTTTGTAAAAAGATAACAATGTTAGCCT